TTAGCTTTGAAGAGAGTTGAATATCTCACTAGTTCTAACTAAACTGAATTGAAAATATTCTGAAAATAACTGCTTCATAAAAACCATTCATATTAAACCCGAGGTTACCTCGCTAGCACCCCACATCTTGCTTCTAATTTCAGAAATGTTTCCAAAAACACATCCTATAAAATGTTTTTCACTTGATTTGTAAGTCTGGCAAAAGTGGAAATATCTAGTGTATCTAGTATAGTGTCAATTCCATTGCATCCCCCCATATAACACTGCTTTTACATTCAGGTATTTAGCTTGCTAAGCAGATGGTTCCTTATTTTGTCTGTTGTTTGATGCAGCTAGTGAGAGCCACGAGACTCAACCATATGATAAATGTGTTTTGAAAAGCATCTACAAGCATCATGGCGGTTCAGAGTTAGGAGATCATTCTCAGTCTGTTTGTCACTATGTTTGAATCATTTCACATCATATTTGTATCTGATTCCATTTAATACTGATATTACGTAACAATGCTAACCCTGGATCCAGGCCGATCTGAGGACTCGTGTTTCTGTTTTCCCTTCTATGCAAAGAGATTTTCATTGATATGCTACTGAGTCATATCTGCATGTTATGATCTGTTTAGAAATGCTGACTCATTGCTATAGTTGTTTGTACACTGAAAAAAAATATTTATGCCCCAAATACTGACTTTAAATAATCTGATTACATTTCAGTTTCCCATGTTACATTAGTACAGTGTAAAATGTTGAATTTGATCAAATCTGGTCAAATGAAATTGACTTGATTGGTATTCAGTTTATACCAAGCGTATTTTCCTTAATGATTAGTTATTTGAATAAATGAACCTATAATTTTATATAATTAGTGCTTTACAGATTTTTGTGAGTGTATCTCTGTCCAGCTGCATCCAGAGGCATTTTGGTGCGCACTGGCTGATAACTCCCTTCAGAAATCAAAAGTGAACTGAAAAATTTCAGAGGTCTTTGCATTTCTGCATTTGTCTGGTGTAATTAAAAAAAAAAAAACAAGTTGAAAATGTGGAGCTACAAGGAAGACCCCTTGTGAATGCAGGAACAAAGTGAAGGTAGCTTCTTTCTTCTTTTGTCTGGCAATATCTACTCACACATCTTATAAGCAGCTGTTTGGGAATAGAAGACACATTTCCAATAGTAAACAAGTGAGAGTCACTTATAAAACCTGCCCACTAACCTGTTGCAGAACAACAAGAGCCAGCAACTAGTCAACACACAAGAGCCTGTTATGCAATAACCACAAGGAGCTTTAATTACAGGTCAAACAGGGTACTTGAACCTACCGGCAGGGGGTGATGGAAAGGATGCACAGCGCTTTCATAAAACAAATGCTTTCTACTTAGAGTGACCTCAAAGAAATATGATCTCCACATTGTAAAGTGATCCAGACAAAACGTATTGTTTGATTTAATACACTTTACAGTTGAGGCTCTGTGTTTGTTTGATGCTATGAACAACGGCAAGGTGTGCAGAAAGTGGTCTCTTAACATTATCTGATTCTGTAAATCACTTATGAGAGTCAGCCCACCAATAGCACCAGGATTTACAGCCACCATGTTGTCCATGTATGACTTATTGGGAGCTTGGTTATGTTCCCATAGCTGGACCCAAAAATAGCTCCTGCAGCTTGGAGCTATGCCATGCGGTTCCTTTTTTGTTTCTTATTTATACTTTTTTGTCCCTGGGACCATAAAAGAAGCACAAGCAGCACGGACCAGTGAATAGAGGAAGTCTGACATCTTCTTAACTGCTCTATCCAACCAAACACAAGCGCTCCCACCTAACAGATTACTGCCAACACCCGTGGCTAATGATGACACAGAGGGAAGTTAAAACTAATAAAATGGTAAATATGCCAGGTTTAGCCATCCTTCCCATCTATCAGCCAGCGTGGGAGCAAGCACACCCTGACACAGTTCCCAGATATGGTCAGCCTGACACCATGTTCACTACCAAAGCATCTACTATGATTCTCCCCCCCCCCCCATTTCCCATATATCACACTAAAGTTCTTCTTTAGTTTCCCCTTGAGAATAAACAGACTCAGTCTTGTTCTTTCTTTCCTCCACTTATTCAACTTCCTAGGAAAAAGAAAATCTAATATAGCCATGTAAAAAATGGAATAATTCAAATGTGACATCAACAAGGTGGTTCCTGTTGTAGAAATAACCTTTAAAATGACCTTTATCTCTAAAGTTTTATAGATAACACAATCTAAAAAAAAATAAAAAATCCTATCTATGACTGAATGACAGGTCATCTTAGGCTACCTAACAACAAACCCTGCAACTCACCACCTATTATTAACATACAGCATGCAACCCAAACTGTCAGTTATCTACCACTGAGCCTAAAATAAGCTCATATTTTTATTTTTATTTTCTTGTTTTGTTTTATGTAGCAGTGGGGGGGGGGGGGGGGGTCGGGGTCGGGCAGGGGGGTTTGTTGGCCTGTTTGTGTTATGAAAACTGAAAAGCCAGTTGGGGGTTGGGACCAAAGTAGCAGCTCAAACACCTATTAATACACTGATAGCTGCCTGGCAAGAGCAGGCTGTTCCACTCAGACACACACTAGAGTGCAGGGGTGCAAAGTTTCCCACAGGCACATGCAAAGTCCAGGAAACATCTTAGAGCATTCACACGAAATCAAGCAATGAGGTGGTCTGAAAGCTGAGAATGCACAGGTATGATGACTACACCTTGGCAACACTAGGTCGAGAGCACAGTGTTGAAGAAACTTAATTCAAATGGCAAATATAAGAAACAAATGCACAAAGCAAAACAGGAAACTGTTGTTGACATAAAAGTTTCTTGTAAAGTTTTGATAGAAATGTAATAAAACAAGTGAGAGTCACTTATACAGAGCATGTAATTCTCTATCGCTCTTTTTTTTTTAAACACACACACATTCAAAGCAGGTCCTACCAGTCTGCAGAGGTTTTCTAGTGATTGCTAATGTGCATGTAGAAGGAAATGAAAATCACCCGGGAGAAATGCAAATGCTAAGAGAAATAACAAAGCACTTGTCAGTCTGATGCGAACAACTTCGAGCAAGCTTGTGTGCACCTCTGTGTTTCCTATATTATTTTACTCTCTGTGCTGTTAAGTCAGACTGAATGTCAAAAGGAGCACTTGGGGATGCCTTCCTTAATTTGCGTTCTGTAATTAATTTATCAACCGGCATTACTCAAGGATGTGAAGATTTTACAACAGCAATGTCAATTTCAGCAGAAATCCCTTCCCCACATTGCTTACTGCTTTAAAAAACTGTTCTATTAGAAGCCATCTAGCGTTTGATTGAATCTCAGAGTGCTCCTAATGACAGGAAACACTATCACCTCCCACTAAAGCACTGCTATATTGTCCATCTTTACTGTCAGATGTCATTTACTTTTCATGCTATGTTGACTCACTGCAGACTCCCTGATGTTGACCATCTGCCATCTGTGCTTCGCAGTAGTGAAGATAATCATGGCATACACTATTTTATCCCTCTGTATTCTATTCATATATTACTTAGAACTGCAACAGCAGTAGCAGCCAAGGAGTCAGCTCAGGGTGTGACCTTCCCTCAACTTGCATGAACCCTATATACAAAACCCCATAAGGGAAAAAAAATGTTAGAATCTTTTAATATTGCATAAAATGCTTTCAGTGAGTGTCAGCTACAAAAACCTTATTGTTCTCTATCATAATAAACATACTCGTAAATAGTTCTATTATTTTTTGTGACAAAATACAACGTGCATGATTATTACTACGTGTTACAGACACCTTGTATCGGATTTACATGCCTACATCGTGGATTTTCCACAGTCATGGAGTAACTTTTCTTATGCATTGCATTGGTGCAGTTTTTCTTTTTCATAAGACACAACACGTTTGCATCTTGCGCTGTGTGGCCACAATTCAAGTGAAGGCTCATAAACATTGTAATAAGTCGTGCCCTGGACTGTTCCTAATGCCTGATGTTGAGATTTGTGGCTTACCTTTTCTTTGAGTTAGCTGTCAAACTGTCTTCTCCTCCAAATATCCCCATGCTTGCATGATCCGAACAGAGAACTGTCTCATGCTGTCTCTGTATCAACAGTGACCAAACCCGACCACCCCGCTATAGGAGTCAAGACAAACGTCATAGCGAATACTACGTTCCTGTTAGCACTTTCAAAATAAAGCATCTCTGAACTGAACTGACATATTTGTATTCATTAAGTGTATAGTACAATACATCCTATTTTACATTTATGTTCTATTTATTAGATTGTAATATCTATGAATTATAACACACGCAGTATGTAGTATATTAACCTATTGCAATATTAAATTTAGTAAGCTTTAGTAAACACTCTTCTCTTTGTCCCTACAGCTCTTTGTCCTCACCGAGGAGGTGACAACGATTACACAGTCAGCTATACAGCACAACACTTCCATCTGCCGTTTGTTGTTGGACCACCATCTGTAAATAGGAAACAGCCTCCATAAGAAATATTTCTAACCAAATTAGAAATATGACTACATTTAAAGTCAAATACAAAATATGTTGGTTATCAAGTAGTCTTTTGATATTTTTAATGGCATGTTAAATTTTACATTGTCAAGAGCTACATAGGACAGATTAAGATTGAACAGGAATTTCTTTTTGCACACAAGAGATTTGTGGATATTTTATTCTAACTGTATTTACCTAAGCCTATTTTCACTAAACACATCATAAACACATTTATGTATCAAGTTTGCCACAGAAGATGATGGATATCCTTCATATCAAGTATATATAAAAATATATTCGTTATTTTAAAAAATGCTGCACAAGGCATTAAAAATAATGCGTTAACGTAAGGTTTATGAGTAGACTGCAAGTACCTTAAATGCATCATTATGTTTACTGACCGTCTATTGGTTCGTAGCACTACAACTCTTGTCCAATCACGGCACAAAGAGGGAGTAGCGTGCGCGCTCCACCTTGTTTCGATCACGTGATACGAGCTTACGAAGATGGTGGAAGTTTCTTCTTCCTTGAAGTGAAACCCCCAACAGAAACCCAAACATCCTGGTGAGCGAAGGCTGGGTGGACACTTTAGATACAGCGCGTTAGTTTTACAGCTCCTCGCTCGGACTCCGGTAAGTAATGGGAGCCAATAACTGGAGTTCTCATCGGTGATATTAGCTTTTTCCACAGCCGTTGGACTTTGGGATTTCCAGCCAGCCATGATGATGACACAAGCTAGCAGGCTAGTAATTAGCCTGGGCTGGGATGGCACCAGGCTGTCAATTCTGGTGGCCAGCTGACATTCAACACGTACTCAGCAACTCTAGTTAAAAAGCCACAGCGGCGAACATAACTAAAAGTGGTCAACTTCATGGCTTTTGACTTTGGCAACCAGGACATACTGTACTTCTTTCTCCGGCTAACCGAATTAGCGTTAGCTTGTTATCAATTCCTAGTTGGATTAAATTATGTAATCTTACGAACGTTTCTTAGCTTAGCATCCAAGACACGGAATGTGGAGGTACATTGAGTAGTTTCTTCTCAGCTATGTGCTGTCATTTGCGAAGGAAGGTGCGCCACACTCAATCTGATATTTTAGTAGTTCGATTAAATCTTTACGCTTAGACGTCATGGAGTCATTTCTCAGTACGCTATTGAGGAATGTTGAAGTGATTTGGTAGGAATTTATATTATTATAAATGGGTTTGTGTCAGTGAAGCAGTGAAAAGAAGTGTTATTAAAGGTATACGGAAGCTTGTTGACTCTTCGGGAAACTGACTGCACCTGTCAAACGTCACTGCTCCCAAGTGCCCTCCATTAGCAAGCTGTCCTGACCGCATAGTTTTCTCTTTTGACATAATTGCTTTGTAAACATAATGCAAGAATGACGTTTACGTTATTTTGTGCCCTCAGTCGCAATTGTTCTCAACAGTCTCCGATTTTTACTTATAATGACGGTTTTTGAGTATTGTTTGCTTGAATCGTAATATTAGAAAACCCATTTGTCCCTTTTATCTGACAAAGATTTCGTGTTCGTCATTGCGACGGTATGTTGTTTTGATGTGCTGCATTGTTTTGCCCTCTTAGTCATGATGTAAACAGCGTGTCCATGTGATTTAACAAGGTGTTAGCAACCTTGACAATAGAAGTTCAGCATATAGTAATGAAAAGCTCCTCTTATGCGGTTTTGGTCATACTGTTCAAAATAGTTGGTTCACCTGCAACACCACAGCACTAACAGGCAATAGTTGAATCAGTCTGAGTTCAGATTAGTTTCAAGAAACCCCAGATGCACTTTGTGAAATAGTGGGAGATGTTGCTTAGCTGAAAACACAAAAATCCAGTTTAGTATCCAGGAAATACACTCATCCATGATACACATTCAGCCTACTTGCAAGGATGCAAAGTCAGCAATTATAATGAATTATTGACTGAGACCCGTAGCCAACGTGAAAGTTTACCCGGGAGCTCCTCACTGTCTCCTGCTCTGCTGTGTGCGTAGACTGTTGGATGAGCTAGAGCTGAGGACCCTGCATTATTCAGTGCCACACTGAAGTAACCACAATCAAGAAAAGATCACAGGGCCTGCTTCAGAGCTTTCGGAGTTCATATACTGTTGACATGCTTATAAGCAAACAGTATAACTGGCCCTGGCAACCTTATCCTCAGAACCAATTATTGCTGTTGTCGGTGTATTTTTGGCATGAGCTTTATGTAATTGCTCTCATGTATTATATAAATGAAATTGTGATCTTAAAGTGAAGACTGGTGACAAAGATCACAAGTTTTTTTGTAAGACCCATAAGATTTTCTTTTACAGCCACCTTACAGGTTTCACAGCCTGCAGCCCTGGCCTTTGCCTCCTTTTGTGGTCTTTTATTACCTTCCATGATGACGCAGCATTTAGGAGATTTTTACTGTTGCTTGAACTGATATTCTTTTTATTTTGAGTTTACCGTCAGTCTGTTCCCTTGTTGCGGACGTTTAACAGGTCATTATACTGTTTAGTGTTGTTAAGGATGGGATCCTGAAAGGAAATACAATTTTTTTTTTTTTTAATGTAGACTTTCTACTATTCAAAATGACTCTCCAGGTGATGAGATTATTTAGGTAGAAGTCTTTGTACAAAGGAAAAAATATGTATGCATGTTGCTGATGTCTTAAGTAGGGTGTCCGTTGAGCTAAGCTAAGCTAACTTGTTTGCACAGATTTGGCGAGAATAGTGATTTGGCGTATTTTCTTGTTTATCTTAGACTTTGAAGATAATTGGGTAAAGGCTGCTTGCTTCAAGCCAAACCCAGTGAAAGCATTTGCACAGGAATATAGGAAGAAATATGCATTAGAGGTCATTTGGAGCCCACAGTTATGATACTTTTGTGTCAGCTATGGAAGATGTACGAGCTTGATGTGCTTTATGCATCTTGCAAGGTTCTTATAGTGACTGACTGTTATAGCTTTGACTGCTGAACTGCAGCTGATTAAATTGACTAATTGATTAATTCAGTTTTAGTTGCAACAAATGTAGTCTCAGTGCACTTTACAGACAATAGTTAGTGGTTTGTTTCCCAGCTTTGCCACCAAATGTCTGTGACTGTGTATGAATGAAAGTCATTGTGTACTATTTTAATCTCAGATGTTGTACATTTTAAGAGTATTTCAGTAAGAAATATAGTTGCAGTATAACTCCTGTAGTTAATGAAAATTTGCTCAAAGCTCTGATATTTTTCTATTTTACTGTACAGTGTAGATTTGCAGAGATAATTTGTGAAATATAAATATTTTTAATGTAGTGTTTCATATTTTTTTAACCTATTAATAGTCAGAAATCAGTTCAGCTCACAATGTAAGCTAAATATATTTGAGCTAAATGATCTCACCAGTATGGTGCACATCTGCAACTTACAGATGAGATCATTTAGTCATATCTGTATGAGTTCTGCATGATTGTCACCAACCTAATGATGTGTTGTCTACAGGCCTTTATACCAGCCCTATGTCATGGCCAGTGGAGCCACCAAGTCGGGCACTTCCAATGGATACCCTATTAGGGCACAGCTACAAATCGTTGGTGAGTCTTCGGTCTTCATCAAGAAGTGAAGACCGACACACAGAGGTTAAAATAAAAGTCAGGTTGACTTATTTTATTTCTGAGCATTCAGATAGCTGCTTAAGTTTTTCAGATGTTCTCATTAGTAAAAATCTGTGCTTCTTGCTATTACTGCATATTTTTTACTACCAGTTAAAAAAACAAAATTTGTATGTTTGCTCATTCACAAAGAAAGGAACAGTCTCTAATTGTTATGGTAATAATAGAGTGAGAGAATACCAACCACAAAATCCAGAACAAACTGATTTGCATGTCATAGAGTGAAATAAGAATTTCATCCCCTACAACCACACCACAATTCTGGCTCCCACTAATTACAATCAGTCATTCAATTATATTTATTATATTCCTGATCTCAACTCATATTGTGTATGAAGCGCACCTCTCCACAGAATCAATTTCTTCCATTCCAACATAGCCGTCACCACGGGCAAGACCAAAGAGCTGCCCAAGACGTCAGCTGGGTCGTAGACATGCACATGGGTCCGTGGATCAGTCTTCCATCATGACAATGTCTCAAAACATACTGTCAAGCAGCACATTAAGGTCACATAGTGTTCTAACCAGTCTCCAGACCTGAATCCTGTAGAAAAATCTGTGAAGGGAAAGAAACCTCAAGCTGCCAAGCGGCAGCCTAGAAACCTAAAGGGTTTAGAGTTTTAGCGTTTGGGACTTTGTTTCTCTTCATTAAAATGACTGTCCATTTCTTTGTAAGTAAACTTGTAAATTCAGCAGGGGATCAAATAATTGTTCCCCCACTGCCTTCATACTAGTATTTTGTTCCTAAATTAAAGTTGTAAACAATTTATTTGTTTTGTTTTGGACTCCAACATCTGACTGCTCATTTACTATATGTATTCTTCCTGTTTAGTGCTATCAGCAAAACTGAAAGAAAACAAGAAAAACTGGTTTGGTCCCAGTCCCTATGTGGAAGTGACAGTCGACGGCCAGTCCAAGAAAACAGAGAAATGTACCAACACTCACAGCCCCAAATGGAAGCAGCCGCTCACTGTGTGAGTCAGTCTTGCCAGGATTACTAGACTCTTATATTAATTCATATCATAGATACTCCTATGCCATACTTCTATTTTATTACCCATAAAAGGTATTTAACTCGAGCCAAACCTGTCTAAATAAAACCTGTATTTAAATTGCAAATGTTTGAATTTATGAGAAAGGATACAGAATGAATTCTAATGTTTAAATGTGCCCATAAAACATCTAATAGCCCACTTACTCAGATGCCATAGACTGTTTATTGTCATAAATGTTACTACTTATATTTTCAGGAAACCAAACCAACTGTGTATTTACCAAATCCTAAATTTTGTTCATCTGGATGTAGCGTTTTCAGAGGGAGAAACGAAACAACTAGAGAGCAGAGTAGAGTAATTGCATCATTCACAGTTTAAAAAGATAGATCTGTATTTATCTTATGTTGCGACAGACCCTTTTCAGTCCTCTTCTTGCAAACAGGAGGTTTGAACAGTAGGTTAATACAGCTGTGAGATGACCATATTAAGGATATCCCCTGTTTTTGACATCATACAACATCTAAAACCCTAATTTTTAACTCACCAGAACTACTTGTACAAATGCTGATTATGCCTCATTATTTGAAACTTTGCCCATGTTTGTATAAATATCCATATGAAAATCGGCAAAAGCATAAAGGGCACCCTTTAAAGATTCTCTAAGCATCTCTATGGAGTGAGAAATATTCAACTATGTTGAAGGAAAACAAAAGTTTTGGCACTAATAAAATGATAGTAGTTTATATTTGTAGCTTATAAAATATGCATATCAAAAAGAGAGCATATAGTAAATAATGCCTGTGCTCCTCGGTGAGAAGAGCATCTTTCCATTGTTCAAACATTTTTACAGCCCATTTAATGGCTATAATCCCTAGAGACTGCATTAAGTGATTAATAAAAACAGTGTGGTAATTTGGGTTTTGGCTCAAAGGAAGAAGTGTACCATGCACGATTACTGCTGACTGCACTATGCGGTAAGACAAATCATCATTTCCCCAGCAAACTGTCAGTTTCTCTCATGAGAATATAAAAATAGAATTTCACTGAAACTGTGCAATTGTTTTTCGTGCATACGCTCTTGGGCTCGGTTTTCATAGAGTTTCCAGTTTAAAGAGAAGTTTAAAGACCTGTGTGTTTGGAATTGGCTTCCATTAGCAGTTACAGTCCCACACAGTTGGGTGAGTGTCCTGTGCATTTACAGGACTCCTGTTTCCAAGAATGCACTTCACATTTAGTGCACTCACACCACTTCACTTCCTGCAGTAAAAATATTCACACATTTAGCACCCCCTTAATTTTAGCCTATCTAATGTCTCCTTCTATGCAAAGTGGCCTTCTTATTATAGAACCCTCCTACAGTTTCTTTTAGACCAACGGGGGAAGCGTTATTATATAACAAGTGTTTACTATGGGGTGTAACCGGACCCAGTCCACATATCCACTGTCTCTTTTCCTGGTGACTGTTAAACAACTGTCGTAGTGACGGTCATGGACACTCACTGTCCCTGAATAGCTTTTGAACTTTATTGTCTGTGGTTCGCTTTCAGGACAACACAAAGATTTTTGCTGCTCATACAGACAAAGTGGTGTTCACTGTTTAGCTTGGTAAAACAGTTGTCAAATAGATTGCAGTGCTGGGAATTCCTGAGAGTAATTGGTTGTTATTTCCTATATTTGTAATTATTGATGCTTGTAGAACTTATCATTGGGAATTGTACTTAACACAAATGTTAGATTGGAGCTGTAAAAGGTTTTAAGACTCACACAAAATGGTATTCACTTGACATTGGCTAGCTAAGGACTTGTGATTGAGAAGTGGAATAAGAACTGCTTACAGATTTATTCATTTAGACAATGGAAAGTCTATAAAAACACTATCAGCACATATTAATCTGTCAACCTGGTTGTTGAAATGGTGTACACGGCCATGAAGAACTTTCCTATGTTAGCTTTTCAATCGAAAAAAGCATGTTTGTTTTTTTCTTTCTCTTTTTAGTTTGTTTTTTAAACTTTCAAAAGTAACTGTTTCTAAATATATTGGTTTTCACAGGATCGTAACTCCATTCAGCAAACTAGTGTTTCGTGTGTGGAGCCACCAGACCCTGAAGTCAGATCTGTTGCTAGGGATGGCCACGCTGGATCTTAGTGAAACACTCAAATCTAATGACATGAAAAGTGAGTATATATGACACAAAGGGAAAAAAAGGTTCCTACATACAAGCGGTGCGTTCTGCCTTAAAGGTAGAGTAAGGAGTCTAGTCATTTGGGTGGGGTCAGAGTAGAGCTCCTGTACTTCCACACTACAAGGAGCCAGCTGAGGTGGTTCAGGCATCTGACTAAGATGCCTCCTAGGTGAGCTGTGTGGGGACATGTCCAATTGAAAGGAAACAGCTGGGAGATTATGCTTCTTCTTCTGAGGAATACCTCAACTTACCCCTAGAAGAGCTGCAGGATGAAACATGTTAGCTTGGTAAAAACAGTGTCTTGTCACTCTGAGCCTTGCCTCAGAGTTGACATATATGATTATAAAGATATATAATTTAGTAAAATTTTTGCGAAGGGATCAAATATAGAGAATAAATTTTGCAAGCATCTGATGACAAAAAAAAGGGAAACCCTCAACCCTTTAAATGATGTTTATCACATACAGCCGTTTGCCAGTGATGAAGCAAGATGTACTCAAAAGTACCACAGAAAATGTAAATTAAGTCCCTGTTTTACAAATTCTTGTGCCTTGACAAAGAAGTTTGATACACAGGTCAGACAGCTGTGATAGGCTCCAGCACATAATAATATGCAGCGGAAAATCAATGACTTGACTGATCCAGCAAATAAGATCCTGGATACAAGCCGCAGAAATGCGCTTTGGCTAACCCAAGTAACACAACAGTTGCACATAGAACAAAGGAGATTGCTAAATATAAGAAATTATATGTGTAGACAATTAGACAGTAATGGTTAACTAGTAATTTTCTACTGCAAAAGTAAACTGCTGCAAGTATAAACCACATCACTTCCTGCCCACCAAAGTTTTGTCAGATAATTTCCTGCTGTCTGTGTGAGTTGATGCAGGTTTACATGGTTTCACTGCAGCACACGTACATACAGAAAGAATTTCAGAGCGCTTACAGATGTGGTTTATCTGACTTACACCCAGGAAAACAATCAGTAGAGTATTCCATTTATAATCTTTGTCATCTGCTTGTATGCTGGAAGATTTTTGGTCTGTTTATCTTTTTGTTTTTCCCTCATAAAGACCAGTTCACTGTGCGGCCATTTTTTTATTTTTTTTATATGCATGGACCCTGTCCAGCAGAGCAGAGCTAATGACAGGGAGCTCTGGGAGCAAATCAAATGTCAAGAGCTGACTTTGATATCAGAGCAGGGAAACACATGCTGATTGCCATAACTTTGTAATTTAAATATTCAAGATTTCATGTTTGAAATCATTTGTCATGTTTGTTTTTTGTGTTTTGGTGTTGTTTTCCACCTCAAAAATGAACCTTTTCATTATTGTACTAGGTACAATATTTAGCCATAACAGAAGCAGGAAAACAGTCTTTTAAGTAATCTTTCTCATTTAATTAAAAAATGTATTATAATATATAATTACATCTCCTGGCGGTGAGCAGGGTAAACTGCTTCTGTCACTGTGCTATCAATAAATGGTTATAACAGTACTTTTATATTTCTTTTTGTTAGTATCCAGTATGTGATCTCAGGAGGCTTACGGGGGGCAAAAAGTACTTCTTTTTCTACTATGAATGTTGTGTAAAATACTACTGTGTATTGTTGGTTAGAATTTTTTTAAGGGACATTATACCACTGACTGAAGTAAAGTTTGGTGGCATCATTAATGGCAAGGTTTGTATTTCAGATGCCATAGTAGCACTGACCATCGTGTGTTTCTTGTATGTAGTTTCTGAGGTGGTGCAGACCTTACAACTGTGTGCAGACAGGGACGAGTCAGACGTGGTGGGGGACCTGTCTGTCTGCCTTGACGGCATGACTGTTGATCCTGATATGTTCGCAAAAGCAGAAGCCGACCATCACAGTGAGTCACGGAAGAGCACAAAGAGGAACTTACATTGGAAGCATGTGAAGTTTTTCATTTTATGTTGTCATTTTTTTGTTTTATTTTACAGGACCTTTGTTTTTTTTGTTTTTGTTTTGTTTTTTACAACTTTTTTTTTTTTAAGTGAAAAAGGGGACTGAAGATATTTTGACATGTTTTTTTTTTTTTCAGAAGTTCAACTTTTCATCCATATCAGCAGTACTAATAGCAGAGTTCTTAATTATTTGACTGGTTATGTTACATTCTAACAGAATCTCTCATTTTGACTCTTTTCTCTTGCATGCTTTTATTTCAGGTACATCAAATGGGGAGTCGCAGCCAAATGGTGATCATTCCATAAGGTACAGTACATCTTCCTGTCTTTAGGCAAGTTCTACCAGTGTCACATTTCTGGTTTCTTCTTTTTTTTTTCTGCTTTGTTTATCAGTATCCACCCACCCTCCTCCACAGGCACAGTCGAGACAGCTCTCCGGCTGTGGACAGCATAGAGCACAAGTCCTCTCCTAGTGGCCGTAGATCAGTAAACAGCACAGGGTCTCCATCGGTATCTTCAACAGGGCTGAGGCCTGTTCGACCACCTAGGCCATCTAGACCTCCGCCTCCAACCCCACGCAGACCCAACTCTTCACCAGGTAAGAGATTTAATGAGTGAAAACTGCTCTAATCTGTCAAGACACTGAAACTATGAACTAAAGGAAAACAAAGAAGAAGAGACACTCTTTTTCTTTACCCACTCTCTACCATCATTCCAGTGTCAAATATTTAACCCAGAGGTAGATCTGGAATTGAGCCAAAGCACAACTTGCTCTTGATATGTTTATACAACCGGTTTCCTTAAATATGAGCTTTCTTCATGCACAACAACACAGAGATGCACAATAAGATCATTTCTAGCTAAATCCTCTCGCACATGCGCCTTAATGATCTCTTATAATCATATTAATTCCACAGTTTTGTTCTTGCACTCCAAAATGGGGCCGATTCACACAATTCATGATTGGCAGCTCAAAATGAACTTTATTTAACTTACAGTGTTCCTTGTTTCAACTATGCAGTTCATTCGCTGTCTGAAACGAGGCATTTTAAGTTAAGTTTCTTCTAATTGGCTGGCCCTCACCAGTACAAAAAGATTTGAACAAAAATGCTCATAGTTAGATCCATGTCCCTAAGGTGAATATTTTAAGGAAATGGTGACATCACACAGTAGTGACATTCAAGAGCAGACAAAACGGTCTTAAAATTTGTTTAGAGCAGTGTGAAGCCTGTTGAAGCCTGTTGAAGCCTTGTTCATATGCTCTGGCCGTGTTTAAAGTGAGGATCCACCATTTTCTTTCTTCAGCATCTTCCAGCAATGACTCTGCTGCAGCAGACTGCAGCGACGGCCAGTCAGGTTCTGATACCCCAGTGCGAGCGCCGGCCTCGGGTCCCTCATCAGCCCCAGACTCAAGTCCATCATGGGGCTCTGACAGGAACTCCACAGTGGCCTCCGGTTCTGGAGCTGCAGCAACCAGGCAGCCGACCAGCACCATCACCCCTGCTGTCACTCCCAGAGTCCCCGCAGTCAGCACAGGACCCTTGCCTCCTGGGTTGGTGCTCATTTTCTAATTCTTGCAGAAGAACTGAGAGAGGTTTTCTGTACAGTCATAAGTCATGAATGTGAAAGAATGGAAATGATTATCTAATCTCCAAAGCCATGCTAAGCAATAATAGTGCCCAAGCCAAACTACTAATTGCTAAAGCGGCTGACTGCGCTGTAGTATAAATAGACCAAGAAAAGGAAGCTTCATCCAGAGAAAAAATGCTTAACTACTGAGGAAAAAATAAAGAAAAGGGGCTGTTGCTTAGCCGTAAATTAATGTTTTCTAAAACAGAACAGAAATACCTGAACAAGGCAAGGTCAGATGAGCATTTATATTCCATTCATCAATCTAATGACACGTTAGATGACGGAGCATGCTGAATATTGTAACGATAAAAAAATCAAACGAATATGCAAACATGAGTGATAAATGTGAGAGCAGTTTTTAGCATAGCAGAATCTTCTTACTGAAAAGACAAGGTGACATGCTACTTGTTTGTCTGTTGAGAGCAGATATGCCTAAACAGTGAATGACTTTATCTCACATTTTATATATTAAACATGGTTGTGACAGTCGTGGTCTTTTTTTGGTCTGGCTTCATCCAGCCTGTAATTCTGTAAACATCCCTTTCTGAGCTCTGTGCTCCTATGACATCATTGTGACCTTCACTGGCTGTTAGCTGTTTTTCTACTAGGATGACTCATGTAGAAAATGCTAGAAATTATAAATCTGTACCTAATCTGCTAGAGTAGTGTCTTGCACCATTAAGAAAAGTGGCCTGAACTTTATCATTGTTCCTTTTTCTAGATGGGAGCAGAGAGTGGATCAGAACGGCAGGCTTTATTATGTTGATCACGTGGAGAAGAAAACAACGTGGGAACGGCCTGAACCGCTGCCCCATGGGTAAACAAAAAAAAACCCTCTATCACTTAGATTTTTCTTAGAAAGTCATCTCTAGTGTTATTGGACTGTTATAATAGTAGATACTGGTTATATTATTGTTGTTCACTTCGTCCAGTGATATATTTGTCATGTCCTTTAGCCTGGAAAAAGTGTATGGTTTTTCTGTCATTAAAGCATTTATTCCCCCCCTTTACACCTTCAGCTGGGAGCGTCGTGTTGACCAAATGGGCCGGGTCTACTTTGTTGATCACATGACACGTACCACCACATGGCAACGCCCCACTGTGGAGTCAGTGCGCAATTATGAACAATGGCAGCACCAGCGAAGCCAGCTGCAGGGCGCCATGCAGCAATTCAACCAGAGATTTATATTTGGGGTGAGACATCCTCTTTATCATGTGATGCATTGTGTTGACTTGGATGGTAATAAGCTGGAATATAGTGACTATAGGTGTGTCTCATCTGTGAATTTACAGTCTTGTAATACAAATACTAAATGCAAAGAAAAGCGCCTGGACTTCTTTAAGTTGCTTGAAGACGTTTCACCTCTCATCCGAGAAGCTTCTTCAGTTCTAAGGTCAAACTGTGAGGAGTTCCAGATTTAAACCTAGTGGGAGTATCCCGCCAAAGAGGGACAAAAGGACCCCCTGATGATCCTCTAATCGCCTGAGCCAAGGTGTGAAAATGGGTGTGGGTCCCAATCAGCCAGGGTTTCGGGTGAGCTCATTGTGAAACCTGGCCCCACCTTATCATGCGAATTCCTGGCCCAGGATCTACATCCTGGGCCATCTGACCTCAGGAATTTGACCTTAGAACTGAAGAAGCTTCTCGGATGAGAGGTGAAACGTCTTCAAGCAACTTAAAGAAGTCCAGGCGCTTTTCTTTGCAAGCTCCTTTGACTACGATGACCTGGATTACTGAGAACCTTCACAGACACAAATACTAAATGATTAGGAAATCGGATTTTGATTGAAGATCGATTGAAGGATGCAAGTTGAGAAAAAAAGCTAGATATCTTTCTTTTCTTGAAGCATTTTATACAAAATATATACATAAGTACTGTGCTGGATATAGCTTATAGGTTACTTTATGTTGCCATATTTCTGTGACATTGCTATTAATGGAAAAAGGTGGCTCACTGCTTTTGAGATGTTACTTTGGCCCTGTAGTTACAGGCCTCTTGCTCTAATATAGAATAGAATAGCCCTTTATTGTCATTGTACATGTACAACGAAATTGTGGGTGCTCCACGCCACCTGTGTCAGAATAAAATACAAATAGTAGACAGCAGGAATAAGCGGGGTGTGGGGGGAAAACACAAAAAGATGCACAGTAGTTGGGATCGCTGTGCCACTGCATATGTCCTTACACGCCACTATCTTAAAAACATGCCAAGCTTGTTAAACACAAAGCTTGGCATATCTGTTATGTCATACATACAAGTGAAGACGCTTCATTAACGATCATCTTCTGCTGTGTAGGCCCAAGACCAGGCCACAGCCACTCAAAATAAGGAGTATGATCCTCTTGGGCCTCTACCACAGGGATGGGGTAAGGTCATAATGACTTTCTAATTTAAATACAAAAGTTTCTGTCACTGTTAACTACAATTGTTGCTAAGAGACATCCACACAGGAAGCCATTTGCTTGTTGTGCAATGCTTTGTTGCTGATAGTGTTTTACCAGCGGACATTCAAGGTTCCAGTTGCTGAGATGAACTCTCACATATGTCAATCAGTGTCCTACACTCTCATTGGAAGTGGCTTAAATCGCATATTGTTCTCATATTTTCTGTCACATTTGGATTTTTCATTGTTTTAGCATTTGAACATCAGTTTTCAACATTTATTGTGACTGCCTTCTGGAACCTGTTGGATTATATTCGATGTCTACATTGGGGACTTTTTTTCTAGCAGTAGCCTGGTAGCTGCTGAGCTGCCAGCCCTGATATAAAGTGTTATATCATGATAGCCACAGCAGGATTTATTTTTATTATTTAATATAACCCCTTTAAATTAAGCTATCTTTATATTTGATTAAGGTAGAGATGTTTGTAGCATGAAAAAGACACTCGTCCCTAATTTCTCAATAATAATAAAGTTAAATAATTCAAAGGTAGCTATGCTTAATTGTGGCTTTTGCATTAATCTATTATAATGTAAAGTAAAGATGGAGTTAGGGTAGGGCAATATAATGTCTCACTTTGTGTGCTTGCAGAGAAGAGAACAGACTCCAATGGCAGAGTTTATTTTGTGCATCACCCTACACGGTCAACACAGTGGGAGGATCCAAGAACACAGGGGTTAGTGTGTGTTTGCATATTCCACTGTTTTTGTTATCAGATAAACATAAAACTTGTATATCTGTAGTGTGTTTTTTTTCATAACCTTTACTGAGAACATTAAACAGGAAAAGGTCTAATGTTGTTTTTCAGTTTGCTGAATGAGAAGCCCCTTCCTGAAGGCTGGGAGATGCGCTTCACTGTAGACGGTATTCCTTATTTTGTCGACCACACCAGGAGAACCACCACCTACATCGACCCCCGCACTGGAAAATCCTCACTGTATGTTATTCCAATGCATTCTTTTCCATTCTCCCAAAATTTTAAGGCTTCAGAAAGATATAGAAGACACAGTCACATTGGCTAACTAAAAGACGTACATTCTTTTCAAAAATAGTTTTATTGCTAATTACTGCCATAATGATACTTTGTAACAGAAGCAACAAACACGTTTATATCTCAAACCATCTTGTGTTCTTCTAAACATAATCATCATTCTTTTAAAAGACATTCTGAGTATTTTGGAAACAAGGTTTTATCTTAATAGTCTGGTTTGACCGAAGCAGGTACTAAAGAAACACAACAACAAAAAGCTGTGCTGCTATATGAATTTGTTTCTAAAATAACTTATTGGTTTGTCTTTGGGATTTAGTTTTTCCTTTTAGTGGCCCCTTTTTAACTATCATTTGTTAGTGACATGTGATCTGGATTCACTGTCAGTGACATTCTGGCTGCACACAGTCTTTTCAACAGTTCTGCGTGCCACAGATAAGTAAGCAAGTGCGTTTGAGTTTCCAGCCAGAGAATACAAAAGACTGGTTTAATGTTATGCAGAAAGTCATTCTGGTGTGCTGATAAGCTGTTACTGAAACAAAGGCAGGTACTTGAAGACCTTTTTTGTTTGTTGTTGTTTTTTGTTTTGCTTTTTTTTGGGGGGGGGATCAACATAAATAGTTTAATTTCACAGTTGATCTAGCATCTCACAAGGTAGCTTTGATATACCTGATAGTTATGTTTCAGCTGATTTTCAGTCATATGTGTCACTGTCCTAAGAATCCCTCTCTAATTTTAGAAGTCGTGATGCATTAGCCTGATATGACTAATGGGTCACCTAGTCTCCTACAGCATTCTCAGTCCTGATAGTTACTGAGTTGAGGCTTGGGTCTGGTTTTTTCACTCAGGTGGAAAAACCAGTTTGGGTGGAAGGTGATGAGAATGTGGTTATGTAAACTAAGATGAACAGTGGCGAAATTCACGTTTATAACCTTCTCATGTACGTTTTTGTAAGTGGATCGCTTTTTTAAAATATATTTTGCAAGGACATTTATGTGGGCGTTCATGGGAGTGGAAGCGAGTGTGAGATCGAAATATCTGAAAGTAATATTTAAGGTATTAACGGATTAAATGAAACTCTGGTTTTTCCTTCTTTTTTGTCACAGTGAAAATGGACCCCAGATCACCTATGTTCGAGACTTCAAAGCCAAAGTACAGTACTTCAGATTCTGGTGCCAGGTGGGTGTCGCTACAGGAAAGGAGAGTTGTTGTCTTTAGAATAAAAATCTGCAGATTCCTGGCATTACACCATATCCACTGACACTATGTGGAAAATGGAGTATTTCATATCTTTCTAATGGATCTCTCAAATTGCATGATGAAACAAAGTAGAGATGAATTCCGTTTAGTCAGTCATAAATTTATTCACGGTGACTGATGACCTTAGGTTCATTTCAACTCAATTTGTTGTTATCAAGTCTGAACTCCCACAGTCTTCGATGGATAACAAAAAATCCCAAGTCATCATAAACAGGGGAGTGCACTGTTTTTGCTTTATTTAGTGTGCATGTGTAATATTTGTGTGCGTACCATGTTAAATAAAAAAAAAAAACGTAATCCTTCCTTTAAGGCGAACCAGTGAGTCTTCACTGCAAAATTAACTGTTGCTGGCATTTTTCTTTTCTCCAGCAACTGGCGATGCCTCAACACGTCAAGATCAACGTATCCAGAAAAACCCTGTTTGAGGACTCCTTCCAGCAGGTACAGCAACCACCTTGAGCCACACTGTTCATTGTATTTATTAATGCATAATAATGACAAAAGTGCAGGGCATAAAGTAAGCAGACTGTAAAATTCCTAATTATGATACTGGGGTATTTTGTTTTAGAATAATAGTGATTTCACAGGTGGTATATCAGTCTGTTGTCTTTGTTGTAGATAATGAGCTTAAATGCTCAAGATCTGCGAAGGAGGCTGTGGATCATCTTCCCTGGAGAAGAAGGGCTTGACTATGGCGGTGTTTCCAGGTTAGTTATGAGAAGTCTCAGAATTCATAGCATAGAACTATTATTGGGCTGCTGCTGTCATTTTTATTTATGTATTTGCTGGATTTCTCATCCCACACTCACTTCTGCCTTGTCTTCTCCTCACTCACAGGGAGTGGTTCTTCCTGCTGTCCCATGAGGTTTTGAACCCGATGTATTGCCTGTTTGAATATGCTGGTAAAGATAACTACTGTCTTCAGATCAACCCAGCCTCCTACATCAACCCTGACCACCTCAAGTATTTCAAGTTCATAGGACGCTTTATTGCCATGGTTAGTCACTTTCTCATATGCTGGTTTTAAAGCTGTAATGGCAAGTAAGATATTGTAAGAGTCACTGTAGCATTATTTATAACAGTAAGGTGTTTCTCTTTGGCTCTCAGCGAAGGCGGTCGCACTTTTCTCCTCTCCCTTATCTTCCCTGCTTAGCTCCTCATGTCCTTGTCTTGTCTCGTGTTTTTTTTGTTTTTTTTTTGTAATACTTTCCCTGGAACACACTCTCACAGTCTGTTTCTAAAACCTAAAGAGAATTATGGATTTGATCAACTGGTCTCTGAATGCTATTGACACCCTTTTCTCAACGAGAAGTCTGGGCTCGGGAGAGCCCGAGTGCCCTGGAGGGACTTTCCCTGCCGGATACACAATGGACGGGTGGCAGACATGGAGGATCGTGTGCCTGGCGGGACGGTCGATCGAGGACGCTGAAGATATCTACCTATTCGGAACCATGATAACAGGGTTCTTGCTGATCGGAGCTGGCTTGGCCCTGGCTTATCGGAGAATTAAGAAAGCGGAACTGGCTGTTCAAACCCCCCCCAAGGCTGCCCGCTGGGATTGAAACGATGGGACGAGGTGCGGCTTCTCAGGTAGGGCTCACTGAAGGCAGCATGGTTAAGAGCTTGGAGGCGCTAACGGCTGCAGTGAAGGCTCAGAATAACACCTCTGAGCGTATATTGGATTACATCAGGGAAGAATCCACTCGGAACAACACCTCTGGGCGGAAGCTGGATTACATCGCGGATCAGTTGGCTGCGGTCATGAGGTCTCAGAATCTGCTCTGTGAGCAAAAAACTGAAAAGACCACAGAATTGAAGGTAAATAACATCATGGAGAAACTCGCAGCTATCCAACGGGAGATTGAGAGACCAGTGTCGGTGTCGGAGTGTTAAAACAGCTTGAAATTCTCATGAGTTGTTTGTAAAAGAAAAATCACCATTATAATAATGCGGCTACCCCTTCGGCGCCAGCTGTGGGCTCAAGGCCAGAACCGAACAAAAACTCCCTGATAACGACTGTTGAGTCTGTTCCTTCCCATTCCATGCAAGGCCACCTGGGTTGGCTGGTAGACTGTTTTCTTAGCCTGGCAGGGCAAAGGACGCTGTCTCAGCTGAACTATGGACACGCACACACATACACTTACACTGATAAGCACACACTCATCCCCCTCCATTTCCAAACGCCTTCGATGCTTGTTTCCTGCGGGGGAACACGTCAGGTCTGTGTGACGCGCTGGGATGGTAGCGCTGTGCAGGGCGGCTGCTGTGTTCGCTTCGGATTACTCCTCACCCCCACCCAATCCTGTGGCTTGTCATGTCCTTCACAATGTTGTGCTGTGGACATTTTTGTGCTTTTTGTGCAGAGGAGTTTTTTTGTTTCCTGTTCTCATGCTGTCCTACCATGGAAGCACAGCATGAGTAGAGGTCTCTTTTTCCTCTTGTACTTTCCCATTGTAATGTACATTTCAGTGTTTTTCAGTAACGCTACCGATCTCAGACTTGTATCCCCATGTAATGTCTGTGTTGTGTGTGTATGGTCGGGGGGGGGTCCCATTTCACTGCAGGGCAACCTGCATGTGGCGAATAAAGCTTTGATTGATTGTGTGTAATAATGATGAACATGCATTTCCCCCTCAGGCTCTTTTCCATGGCAAGTTCATCGACACTGGTTTCTCACTGCCATTTTACAAGCGCATCCTCAACAAGCCGCTGACCCTCCACGACCTGGAGTCCATTGATCCAGAGTTCTACAACTCCCTCATGTGGATCAAGTGAGTTCACAAAACTGCTGTGTGTGTAAAGCGGTTTGAAAGACGATGCATTCTTAATTATTCTCATTCTAAATGAACTTGTTGACATTTCTTATTACAAAGTTACTAATACATTAGATTGTTTATGTCTTTGTATTGGTGTGTATCACCCTATACATCTCAGGTTTTATTTATGACGAGAAGAGTAACAGTGTGCTTAATGTGCTGCTCGTGTTTATTTGTGTGGAGAAATGACACATCACTGCACTTTGTTACACTAACTCATTAATGAAAGAAGAACTGTCCCCCAAACGGCAGGGGCTGTAATAAAACTTTGATGTTTTATGATATTTTTTTTTTTTATTACAACATGCTGACGTCAGCCTGCTGACAACGAGCTGATACCTGACCTTTGACCTGTGACCTTGAAGCACATACAGTCTAAAATGGTTTATTTTCTATCTTTTTCACCCACATGATTGGGGCAGAATTGGCTGAAATCTTTTGCTTTTATAAGCTGTAAAAACGTGAGATTTTTAAGATGTATTCATGCAGCGTGTGATTTCTTTTGCGAAACATTATGGGTCCATCTTGACGTTGTAGGGTCTCATATTGGGGGGGAGTAACCATATGTCCTTTCATATTGCACTGGTCAACTTGGGCGCTAAAAATGAAGGTCAACCCAGTTGCTCACATCCCCAGAGACCCTGTTATTGGGAAGTTTGAAGAAAAGAAATTGTGGGTAAAATAAAGCTTTTACTGCTTTTCACATTTTGTGGGGCCTTGACTTTGATCCGATAATTTTTTATTTTATTTATTTATTTATCCATCCATCCATCCATTCGCTTCCGCTTATCCTTTTTCAGGGTCGCGGGGGGCGCTGGAGCCAATCCCAGCTGTCATAGGGCGAGAGGCGGGGTACACCCTGGACAGGTCGCCAGTCTGTCGCAGGGCTAACATACAGGGACAGACAACCATTCGCACTCACTTTCATTCGCACATTCACACCTAGTGACAATTTGGATTATCCAATTAACCTATCCCCACTAAGTGCATGTCTTTGGACGGTGGGAGGAAGCCGGAGTACCCGGAGGGAACCCACGCAAACACGGGGAGAACATGCAAACTCCACACAGAAAGACCCCGGCCTGATGTTGGAATTGAACTCAGGACCTTCTTGCTGTGCGGCAACAGTGCTAACCACCGTGCCTTTATTTATTTATTTATTTATTTATTTATTTATTACCAAAAATTAAATAGACTCAAGCTGTCATGGGTTTTTTACCATCACATAATATCTTGAAAACTGTGGATGCTACACTGCTGACAAACAAAACAAATTAAGCCGATTACATATTTCCTGTCTTTGTGGGGACAGCCAATTGAAATGATGCCTCAAAACCCCCTCAAGATGAGTACTGAGCTCAGTCATTTGGGATTGCAAAGTCTAGTCCTATTAAGTAATCTAACCTACAAAGAACTGGAGAAAAAAATCAGTGAAGTCTTATCTAAAAAGCTTGAGAAGAAAAGTGGCTAGACTTGAGTGTTTTTTGAGTACGTTTCACATCTCATCCGAGAAGCTTATTCAGTTCTGGAAGTTTTATATTAACTGGCTACAGATGACATAAATATTTTTATGCCATCATTAATTGTCAACAGAACCCCAGCACAATGATCAAAACCTCCATTAACATCCTGCGGTTAGCCAAACATCTCATGTGATTTTTAGTCCTTTTTAGTCACATGAATAACTGTGACTAGTAACTCAAAACTGAATTCACATTTTTACAAAATAATTGATTCCATGTTCTTCAGTCACTTTTAATTACCTTCTAATGCTAATCTAATCTAATTCAAGCTTAACATTTCCTGGGGAAACCATGAAGAAAATGTTCTTAAAATTGGGCCTTGAGTAGCTCTAAATCCCCTTAGGCAACATTTTAGCTGGATGAGCGGAGGAAGAAATGTCGTCAGCAGCATTAATAGGTCACTGAAACGTGTTAGTCTTTAACCCTTGGTCAGGTTTTCAAATCATTCTTGGCTGCAGCAAATTTCCTGTGGTGTTAGACTCTCAGAGCTTTAAGTGTAGAATGTGTCATGATAACGGAATAACATGACACGGATGAAAACTTGTTGTAACAGTAATGCTGCAGGGACCTTGTTGCTCTTTAGGGATAACAACATTGAGGAGTGCGGGCTGGAGATGTTCTTCTCTGTTGACAAGGAGATCCTGGGGGAGATCTCCACCCATGAGCTGAAGCCAGGAGGAGGTGACATCCAAGTCACAGAAGAGAACAAGGAGGAGTACATCAGGTGGATTTCAGGGTTTTCCATTTAGTTGTTAATTCAGATCATTGTCTATTATTATTATTATTATTATTATTATTATTATTATTATGTCAATTCAATATAAGGCTCATATGACATGTTTATTAAGATAAGAGTTTTTTTTAGGTTTTAAGGTTGGGCTTGTGTTTGCCTGTGCAGGCTGGTGGCAGAGTGGCGCCTGTCCAGAGGAGTAGAAGAGCAGACACAGGCTTTCTTTGAAGGCTTCAATGAGGTCCTCCCTCAGCAGTACCTGCAGTACTTTGATGCAAAAGAGTTGGAGGTATGCTTAAAGACAAATACTCAAGAATGGAGTGGGCGGTATACTTTTTGTCTTAATGAAAATGTATTCCATCCCAGGTCATGCTGTGTGGTATGCAGGAGATTGACCTGGTAGACTGGCAAAGAAACACCATCTACAGACACTATGCTCGCAGCAGTAAACAGATCGTCTGGTTCTGGCAGGTCAGTGTGAAGCCGAAGGAGTGACTCATTAAACTGAAGTTTATAATAATATGATAATATGGTCTTTAATCTTTCTTGTTTTTTGTTTGTTTTTTCTCCTGCAGCTGGTGAAGGAGATGGACAATGAGAAGAGGATGAGACTGCTGCAGTTCGTCACTGGTACCTGTCGCCTGCCAGTCGGAGGCTTCAATGACCTCATGGGTAAATATTGCAGGGATGACCATTTGAAGTGCCAAATGATTCTACATGCAGCATGACGCCAAAGGATAACCTACAAAGTTTTGTTGGTGGTTTATTTCAGTTGTATGTTTGTTCTCATTGTTAAGATTTAAGCCATTTGTAGCCTTTAGTGTGTTAGGTAGGAAACTGTCAAATTATTGCAATTTGTTTTGAAAGTTCACCTTTTCTGTAAGGATCAAACTTAACAGTGAGTTGTGCTTCACCTCGTAGGAAGCAACGGTGCTCAAAAGTTCTGCATTGAGAAGGTGGGAAAAGAAAACTGGCTTCCCAGAAGTCACACATGGTGAGTTCATACAGAGGACTAAAGAAACTACTGGGTGCGGATGGATGATAATGGGCATACACCTCACACCCCACCTCATGTAAAAGAACAGAACTGTTTTGAGTTGCAGAAGTGTTATGGACAGTGTTGAAATAACTATGGAGACAGTACAGTTTTCCAATTGGGCCTGGATATTATGAATGCAGATTTACAACCTACTTCAGAGTTGTTTCAACTGTCCTTAAACTTCTTTAGTTTTCATCCAAGCACACAGCTCCACACTGACATAGACTCACTTCAGAATCAAGCTAGGTTTGTTGTGGTAGCACCAGAATCAGCTTTTCAAGCTAAAATACATTTTTTAATGTTCATTTTCCAGCTTCAACAGACTGGATTTGCCACCCTACAAGAGCTACGAGCAGCTGAAAGAGAAGCTGATGTTTGCCATTGAGGAAACGGAAGGCTTTGGACAGGAGTAAAGAAAACCAGGAGGAGCTGGGTGCAGGAGTCTGGAGGAATGAGAAAACCCCACCAGTGTTCAAATCAGGGAGCCTCTTTAGAATAGGCAGGAGTTTTTGGGAGTTTGTGCTCATGCATGCACTCACATGTGTAGTACTTCTATGGGAGCATATGCTAGACTGTTGTCTGCATGTTGTTGGGTTTTGGGCACGGGCCCTGCACACTGCAGTCTCAGCAGGCCTCTGCACGCCCGACAGCTTGGAGAAATTTTTGTATCGTTTCAAACCAAAACACGGACGCTGCTCCCATCTCTCAGAATGTGCACCGCTCTATGCTCGGTGAACTCGTCCTCTGTGACATCTGTTTAACAAGACTACAGGTCTTTTGTTTTGTGCTTTCGACTCATATGATCATGTCAGGTAAGAAGGAGGGGTTAAACTGAAAACATCTTGACCTGACGGAGCACAAGAAGAAATTGAGAGGGTCTGCTTTTTCTTCTAAAACTGATGTGAGAGTCACCAAAAATCATTTTTAAATTCTGTTGTTTTAGAATCGAACTCACACTTTGATCTGCATGTTAATTATAACAAGACCCTTTTTTTCCTCAAAAGTAGTGCTTCAAACTTTTACTAACAGACAATCCTGGTGCTTCAGAGAGATTTGGCCACATGCCTAATTTGCGTTCCTGCTTCTTTAGTATTTGATCTGGGAATCGATTCGATGATTGTGAAAAGTGTTGTAACCTCCATTGTCTTTAGTGGTGGGAAGAGTGGAAGAGAACTTAGAGGCCCTAGTTTTATAGGGCCAGAGTTTGCACGCTGTGATGTGTGATGGGGGACACTGTGGATTAGAGTATCCTGGGGGAGTCTTTTAAGTTATTCATCTTAGTATCAGCTTTAAAATGTTTTCCAGCTTTCTCCTTTTATTTCACGGGATAGTCTTGATTAAAAATTAAATAAATTAACATCCTGAGGAAATCCTTTTTAGTAATTAATGAATCGAGATTTGTTTTGATGCTATTTAAAGTTAAAAGTTTGAAAACAAGACACCAAAATCAAGTCAAACCAAATCAACTTTTAAATGATAATGGATATTTTGAATGCTCACTTAACAGCTTGAAAATAAGCAGTTTGTAGCTTTTTGTACACGTGTAGCATTTGAATTGGATCGAGCGCTTTGCCTTAGTTGAACTTTTACAAACCCTACAGCGAGAGACAAAATGAAAGAGACAAAGCGTTTTGGAATTGAAAAAGGTTGAATTCTGTCTTCCCTTTTCCACTTAGAGGAACATTTTACCTCTAAATGCTTTTAGCAGAGAAAGCAGTTTGTAATTCTATAGTTTGTGGATTTGGGTAATTCTAAGAAAAACAGAATTTTAAAGCTGTGCGAGGCATTGTACTGCTTCAAGGAAAAAAAATAAAAGTCATGAATTCCTGGGAAGAAAAAGTCTGAGATTAAAGTGGTAAATTTATAAGAGGGGGAGGGGTGAGCCCGGACTTCAAATTCAGACCCGAGACGACACCACCTGCTGGTTCGTGCCTGCAGTGTATCACAGCTGACAATTATGGTCACAAAATGACCTTCTCATTATAAACATCTGCACTTTGAAGATACTCGCTCATGATCAGGCCTGTTCAAATGAAAATAACATACAGACCGAGATGCTGTGATAGTTGTTATCACAGACCAGCACTCTGTAATGTGACCACTTCTTACCAAAACTTTTTTTTTCTCCTAAAATAACCACTTTAATCTCAGACGGGATCTTGATTTTTATTTATTTTTTTTTTTTTAAATCCTGCATTATTTTTAATGTCATGATTTTAAGCTTTTTGTTTTGTTTTTTGTTTTTTTTTCTTTGAAAATGATAAGTCTTCCATAGCGTCGTATTCTTAAATTTTTTTTACCTTACCTAGAATGCATTACGAAAGTGAAAAGGTGTGTTTGTGTGTGAGAGAGATTCTTGCTTCACCTTCTAGGTTATGTATCATGGAACAGCTGACTTGGGCAGATTGTTGTATTAAAATGTGAATGCACAAAGAAACCTCCTGATGCTTTGCCAAGGTGGTATCCAGAGTTTTGTGTGTGTGTGTGTGTGCGTGCGCGCGCTGAGGTTGGTGTAGTTTGGCATCAATCATATGAAATTTAGAGCAGCAGGTAGTGTGGGTTCTCATTTTTAGAGCGCTCCTTTGAATGATTCAGGTTACACACTTGAAAGACTGTTGGGGTCACTGATGGGGGCATTGGATTCAGGCGGTGTTAGTCTAATAAAGCACGGCACTTTCTTTCCCAACACCCCCAGCTTGTGCGAGTTCCATTCTGCTTTGTCTGTACCCCTGGACTCACCGTTTCCACGTGCATGGTGAGATCATCTGTCATTAGCCTTCAGGTAGCCTTATTTCCACCCTCGGGCTTCAGGCATGCTTTGTTAGCAGCTTGAAGCCGGCAGAGATGATCCACCGCAGGTTGCTTTATGCTAAAGTGAATACTCTGGACTGCACCAGATTGAGCTTGGGGGGGGGTGTCACATGGCCTGTTTTTAAATAGTCAAGTGTGACCTCGGCTAGGACAACAACTACTGAGACAATGCTAGCATAAAAACTGATGAATGTATCAAGATGGAAAGTTGGTCTAGTTGCCTATTTACAGCTTTGCCTCAGATTGTTTTCCCTGATGCAGGATGATTAAAATCTTGGGAACATAGTTGAATAGATATGTAAATATTAACTGCTTCTTTTTTTCTTTTTTGGGTTTTAATTTTTTTTGTCTAGAAGCCTCCATATCCAAATAAACCACTGTCACTCCCCTGTACATGAAGTTGTAAATGGTGTCAATAACAAAGTTTCTTTTTTAAAAGAGAGGTTTTAAAAAGAGGTTTATGTTAACACTATTTTCTTTTCCCTGTTTAATTTCTGATGTATATGAACGATGTGTAATATAGATAATGCCACCTTAATAAATTAACTCAGAAATGTGTGTGTGCCTTTACTGGGATGCAGTTGGTAAAAAAGACATTTTGTATCATCTTGTTTATCACTTTGATTTACTTAGTCTTGCTTGCCCTGGCAGGTTTAAGGACACAGTTGTGGTTTGGTTCCTTATCCTCTCTGCTATGATAAACATTTTCTCCTTACATGTGGTGTTTCACTACCCACATTATCAGGGTATTTACTATGCCAGATGCATCCTGGTTGCTTTTCCCAATAAGCAAGCTTGCATGCTTTCTTGGGACTCTGATCTAAAATGCAACTGCAGTTACCCAACAGCAAGAGGGTCAAAGTCTAAGTCAGCGCGAGCCGTCTGTTATAAACTGCTAAATCTACCCAGGCATATGCAAATTGTAAAGGCCGATGCGTGACCCACCTGTTACTGGGAGACAAATGAGATCAATAAACTTTGGTCAGAGTAATGGGTTAAATCACAAACTACCTTTATTTACCGATTTTAATTGACCTTTTTATATTAATACATTTCAATAAACATGTAACTACATATGTTTAATTTCAAGCTGAGTTTCTTCCACACTTTGGGAATCACTGGTCTAAAGCATAATGTAGTCTGGATGAAAGAATATACAGAAGTAGTTAAATAAGTGAAATTTGGTGTTGGAAACATTTTTGGGTGATTCACCATTATGAATGGCAATGAATCACTCTAAAACTAACAGTAAAGGTTGATTTTAAAGGAAGATTTACCATCTACTGCGAGTTGAGCTGAAGTTAAAAGCAATGTTAAAAACTGGTCATTCTGTATAGTTTAGTTTTTTTTTTTTTTTAATCAGTCATAGATTACTGGTGTAAATACAGCTAGTTTATAAATTATTTTATTAATTATAGGAATTTGTTAAACCTGTATGAAAAAGTAATCACCCCCTATTGTTAAATCATGAATTAAATGTAATTAACCCCATTTTTTTATCAGAAGTTTGAAATAAATTTCATTATCTAGACCAGGGGTGTCAAACTCAAATTCACAGTGGGCCAAAATTCAAAACTGGAACAAGGTCGCGGGCTAACATTAATATTTATTGGAAAAAAATCTTCCTCCAGATTTAAGAATGAATCTTTTCTTATGGACTCAAACAAGTTTTGCTGAAAAACTGAATATGGAACAAGCAAAGCTTAATACTAAACAATATATATATTAGCTGTATAATACCAGTAGGCCAGCTCTAATAATAATTTGGTATGGCTTCGCGGGCCAAATGTAATTAGGCTGCGGGCCAAATTTGGCCCGCGGGCCAGAGTTTGACACCTATGATCTAGACCAAGAGGTAAGTGAAGCAGGTAAAAGAAAGGCATTTCTAAGGCTTTGGGACTCTAGTGAGCCACGATAAGACCCATTACCCAAACAGAAAACCTGGAAGTGTGGTGACCCATCCCAGCAGTGGCCAGCCTCTTGAGTGCATTGATGAGGAGTTCCCCAGAAGTTCCCCTTTCCCCCAGAGCTGCTTTGAAATGCTTCTCAGACTCGCTGAGTGACCCAACCAAAGCCAAAACTGAAACCATTATAACGTCAGCAGCTTTGGTGGCACCTGCACTAAAACATGTACTAACATGCATTTAAATAGACACAATTACACTTTGAGTCACGTACAAACCTTAAAGTAATTTTATTTGTCGTTACATGAAATGACATGAAAACAGAACATTTTGGCAAAGGCTTGAGATTATGTTGTGACGGAGCCGGCGTGGTTTGAACTTGCACATAATACAAGAATTTAGAAACTTTCCACTGGGCATCATAGATCCAACAGATCCTTCAAATCTTCCAGTTCCTGTTAATCCAGTGTAATAATTTAAATGACGTTTTAATTTAAAACAAATAATGTTATGTAAATGTGTGGTTTAAATAATAAAAAAAAGGATAACAAAGCTTGTCGACTGGTCCTGGAAACATTCGGACTTGGCATTAGGACTACAAACATGGCTGCTGCAAACAGTTTTGGTCATCGCTTGAAATCTGCTCCAGTCCTCCTCCACCATGATTCACCCCGTCATCCTCCTCCTCTTCTCCCTTTGTCTGCCTTTCGATGGTGCTGATGGACAGCACAGCCTGACAGCCCTCATCATTCCTTCTCTCCTCTCCCGCCTCCCCATGTGTTTCCACTTGCTGCTGGATGCCATTTATGCCATTGCCCACCGCTCCATCATCTCCCCCTGTCTCCGTCCTTTTTGCTTTTCTCGTAAACCCGTTTCTTCTCTGCTCATCCTCTCCGTCCTTCTCCTCAGCCTCCTCTACCTCGTCTCCCTCCATTTCTCCCGTCCCCATTTCTGCTTCCAGCTCATTTCCTGCGGCAGGACATTTGTGATCTCTGTAATAGCTCTGCCTGGTGAAGCCCTTGTTGCAGGTGGAGCAACGGAAGCGGTAGTTATCAGTGTGGGACTGCTGATGCTCGAGCATGTGAGCCCTGCGGCTGAACGCCTTCTGACAGAACAGACACTTGTAGGGCTTGATACCTGGAAA